TTATTATTCCCACCATTGTTGTTATTACTTATTTAGTTACTTTAGCAATTTTAATTAAACCATGACGCTTCCTGCATTATCCCAGGACAATATTATGCCAAGCTCCATTTAAGAAATACCATATATTAACAATTATTTGTGCTTACGTAATAGCACATAACTGTAGAAACACAAGAAAAAAACTCATCATATCTCAACAGCCTTCTTGTCAATTCGGCTTCAATATAATACATAAATACAAACTTTTTGGCCGACTTTGTCGCATCAACTCGTTACCAGCCTCACTATTTCAGTGGGAGGAGATCATGGGAATAGATGGAAAAAACAGGATTCATCATTAAAATACGGGGTGGTTGGTGGATCACGCGTACGCCGAATTAAACACCGGTAAGAATGCTGATTAACCGTGTCTTATGTGTGAGTCATGGTGAAAGAGAGAAGGAGAGAGGACATGATAAACAGAAAATAAAGTAAAATAATGTCTGCTCTGTGACCTGCTTATCTGCCCTCTCAACTCTGCCCTTCGTACGTCATCACCATAACAACAAGCTGCTTCCGCGGGTAATTTGACATTTAATAACTTTGATTGGAGGACAGTTACAAGATGAATCTAATTGGCTCTTTGTTTTTTCTCCGGCTCTTTGTCTGAGGTAATTTTTTTAACTGTATATTTAGCTAGCATGCTACCTTTATAATTGCGGCTTATAATGTTAGCTATATTAATTATGTTAATTACGATGTTCCCTTTAATCATAAATGTGGGAATATTTTAGATTCAGCTTGTTAAGTGTTAATTGTCCTGACGAGGAACAACAAGACGGAATCGACAACATTAAGCTAAGTGCTCTTTTTTCTTCTAATGACATTTTCATTTTTTATATTTCATTTCTCACAAATATTACATATTACATTATTGATGTTTTGTTAGCTGTTTACTTATTCTATCACTAATTAATGATTTTCTTTTGTTTTCTCTTTTTTCTTTTTGGTTGTTTTTTGATTGTGCATAAATCTGACACCTGATGAACACCATGCAAAGAAGGATAGCAGCAACCCCAAAGACAGAAGATCATCAGAGAGGACTACAGCGAGACGGCAGCTGATCAGAACATCAACCCCAGATGACACGGACACAGTATTAAGACTGGCGATGAGCAAAACAAGGACGGCCTGGAGTTGTAAATGAATGAATACATGAAAAAGAAACAAATAAATGATATGACATGAAATTACAGAGTAGTGTGAATGTGTTGTGGTTCACATGCACCAAGCATTAGGCTGGCAGTAAAGTACCGCTGGTTGCTAGGCAGAATGTTTTACAAACTGTCACTGCCACATTTTGAACTATTTGTTCTCTCATATGAACACACACATGTTGAAAGCTTGATCTGTCACATACTGTAAGCTACTGGCCAGAGTCAGTAATATATGGGCCAGAGTCAGTTATATATGGGCAGAGTCAGTAATATATGGGCCAGAGTCAGTTATATATGGGCCAGAGTCAGTAATATATGGGCCAGAGTCAGTTATATATGGGCCAGAGTCAGTAATATATGGGCCAGAGTCAGTAATATAAGAGCCAGAGTCAGTTATATATGGGCCAGAGTCAGTAATATATGGGCAGAGTCAGTAATATATGGGCCAGAGTCAGTTATATATGGGCCAGAGTCAGTAATATATGGGCCAGAGTCAGTTATATATGGGCCAGAGTCAGTAATATATGGGCCAGAGTCAGTAATATAAGAGCCAGAGTCAGTAATATATGGGCCAGAGTCAGTTATATATGGGCCAGAGTCAGTTATATATGGGCCAGAGTCAGTAATATATGGGCCAGAGTCAGTAATATATGGGCCAGAGTCAGTAATATATGGGCCAGAGTCAGTAATATATGGGCCAGAGTCAGTAATATATGGGCCAGAGTCAGTAATATGGAGCAGTAATATAAGCCAGAGTCAGTAATATATGGGCCAGAGTCAGTTATATATGGGCCAGAGTCAGTTATATATGGGCCAGAGTCAGTAATATATGGGCAGAGTCAGTAATATATGGGCCAGAGTCAGTAATATATCAGTAATATATGGCCAGAGTCAGTAATATATGGGCAGAGTCAGTAATATATGGGCAGAGTCAGTTATATATGGGCCAGAGTCAGTAATATATGGGCAGAGTCAGTAATATAAGAGCCAGAGTCAGTAATATATGAGCAGAGTCAGTAATATATGGCCAGAGTCAGTAATATATGGGCAGAGTCAGTAATATATGGGCCAGAGTCAGTAATATATGGGCCAGAGTCAGTAATATATGGCCAGAGTCAGTAATATATGGGCCAGAGTCAGTAATATATGGGCCAGAGTCAGTAATATATGGCCAGAGTCAGTAATATATGGGCCAGAGTCAGTTATATATGGGCAGAGTCATTAATATATGGGCCAGAGTCAGTAATATATGGGCAGAGTCAGTTATATATGGGCAGAGTCAGTTATATATGGGCCAGAGTCAGTAATATATGGGCAGAGTCAGTAATATATGGGCCAGAGTCAGTAATATATGGCCAGAGTCAGTAATATATGGGCCAGAGTCAGTAATATATGGGCAGAGTCAGTTATATATGGGCCAGAGTCAGTAATATATGGGCCAGAGTCAGTAATATATGGGCCAGAGTCAGTTATATATGGCCAGAGTCAGTAATATATGGGCCAGAGTCAGTAATATATGGGCAGAGTCAGTTATATATGGGCCAGAGTCAGTAATATATGGGCCAGAGTCAGTAATATATGGGCCAGAGTCAGTAATATATGGGCAGAGTCAGTAATATATGGGCCAGAGTCAGTAATATATGGGCAGAGTCAGTTATATATGGGCCAGAGTCAGTAATATATGGGCCAGAGTCAGTAATATATGGCCAGAGTCAGTAATATATGGGCCAGAGTCAGTAATATATGGGCAGAGTCAGTTATATATGGGCCAGAGTCAGTAATATATGGGCCAGAGTCAGTAATATATGGGCCAGAGTCAGTAATATATGGGCCAGAGTCAGTTATATATGGCCAGAGTCAGTAATATATGGGCCAGAGTCAGTAATATATGGGCAGAGTCAGTTATATATGGGCCAGAGTCAGTAATATATGGGCCAGAGTCAGTAATATATGGGCAGAGTCAGTAATATATGGGCAGAGTCAGTAATATATGGGCCAGAGTCAGTAATATATGGGCAGAGTCAGTTATATATGGGCAGAGTCAGTAATATATGGGCAGAGTCAGTAATATATGGGCAGAGTCAGTAATATAAGAGCCAGAGTCAGTTATATATGGGCCAGAGTCAGTTATATATGGGCCAGAGTCAGTTATATATGGGCAGAGTCAGTAATATATGGGCCAGAGTCAGTTATATATGGGCCAGAGTCAGTTATATATGGGCAGAGTCAGTAATATATGGACCAACTTAAAGCTTCTATGTGAAACTCTACTTAATAAAAACCGATTCTGATTCTGTTGTTTATCTTTTATCTTTTATTTCATTCTCTGATTGTTAGTGGCCTGATTTATAATATCATCTTAACGATCTAATAAATAATAATGTGTAATTATAACATTTAAATTTTAAAAAAGAACGACACAAAGTGACGTCATCGCCGGCTCTGTCCAATCAGAGGTCGTTGATCAGCGCGCACGAGCTGTGGCAGCGAACGGTCTCGAGCAGTCTCTCGTCCAACGGCCGCCGGTAACGGTAACGGTAAGTTCACTGTCCGCCGGTAAGTTCACCGCTGTCCGCCGGTAACGGTAACGGTAAGTTGACCGCTGTCCGCCGGTAACGTACCGGGACAGCGAACCCGCTGCTACCGGCTGTAGTCACACTTTACAACCTGTTTAACGACCGTTTGGCTACCGGCGGTGCTAATGCTAGCTAGGTTAGCTTAACCGTCACTACAAACTTCTTCTGTGGTGGTTTTAAAGTTTGATGAGTTTATTTTATTAATATTATATTTGTGAATTAAAAGTGATTATTGTGACTGCTAACTGCTCCTGTATGACTTTATTATATATATAATACTGAATACACTGTTTTAATCTTTATATATATATATAATACTGAATACAGTGTTTTAATCTTTATATATATTATAATACTGAATACAGTGTTTTAATCATTATATATATTATAATACTGAATACAGTGTTTTAATCTTTATATATATTATAATACTGAATACAGTGTTTTAATCTTTATATATATATATATATATTATAATACTGAATACAGTGTTTTAATCTTTATATATATATATATATATATTATAATACTGAATACAGTGTTTTAATCTTTATATATATATATTATAATACTGAATACAGTGTTTTAATCATTATATATATTATAATACTGAATACAGTGTTTTAATCATTATATATTATAATACTGAATACAGTGTTTTAATCATTTATATATTATAATACTGAATACAGTGTTTTAATCATTATATATATATATATATTATAATACTGAATACAGTGTTTTCTGTTAGAAATGTTCAGTCTGGCTCTCCAGCAGTTACACTGACTGATGACAGTTAGCATCATTAGCAGCATTAGCATTAATAATCAGCTATATGGACAATATCTCAGCAGCTGATTGGCTGATTGGGACAATATAGGAGGTTTTGGTTAATTGAAGATGATGTGTCCATATTTCAGCTCCCAGTGGCCTGATTGTCTATTTTGAGGTTATTTATATGCTGAACACCAAAGAGGTTATTAGTGTGTATTACAAACATTCACACCAATGGCACTGAGCTTCAGCAGCTCCAATGTATTGATCATATCAATAACCTCAGACTGAATCACAGTCGGCCCACTGGGAGCTGAAATAGGAACACTTCTGGTTTAAAAATGTCCGAAATGGATTCAGCATCCTGGAATATCCTGGAAATAATCTACGTTGTCCTGGAAAAGTTTAATGTGTGTGTGTGTGTGTGTGTGTGTGTGTGTGTGTGTGTGTGTGTGTGTCCCCTCCAGCAGCAGTTCAGTGTGTCAGTGTTCATAAGAACAGCAGTGATGAGCAACAGAAGCCGCAGGTCCTGGTGAGAGCTGACGTACATGCCACACCTGTTACACACCTGTTAATCACCTGTTACACACCTGTTAATCACCTGTTACTCACCTGTTACTCACCTGTTACACGCCTGTTACACGCCTGTTACACGCCTGTTACACACCTGTTACTCACCTGTTACTCACCTGTTACTCACCTGTTACTCACCTGTTACACGCCTGTTACACGCCTGTTACACGCCTGTTACACACCTGTTACTCACCTGTTACTCACCTGTTGCACACCTGTTAATCACCTGTTACTCACCTGTTGCACGCCTGTTACACGCCTGTTAATCACCTGTTACTCACCTGTTACACACCTGTTAATCACCTGTTACTCACCTGTTACACACCTGTTACACACCTGTTACTCACCTGTTAATCACCTGTTAATCACCTGTTACTCACCTGTTACACACCTGTTAATCACCTGTTAATCACCTGTTACTCACCTGTTACTCACCTGTTACACACCTGTTAATCACCTGTTAATCACCTGTTAATCACCTGTTACTCACCTGTTACACACCTGTTAATCACCTGTTAATCACCTGTTACTCACCTGTTACACACCTGAAACGTATATGTCATCAATATGACTGCTTTAGCTGTTGATCATGAGCTGATTATAAACAGCAGTACGAAGGAGCTGTGCTCTTCTCTCAGTGAACTGGGTCACTGTGGATCCTCCAGTTCACTGTGTAGGCAGTCAAGAGCTCTGATCGATCTGTTTATGAACATATAACATATATAACATAGAACATATATAACATATAACATATGTAACATATAACACATATATAACATAACATATATAGCATAGAACATATGTAACATATAACATATATAACATAGAACATATATAACATATAACATATATAACATATTTAACATATAACACATATATAACATAACATATATAACATAGAACATATGTAACATATATAACAGAACATATATGACGTATAACATGTAACATAACATATATTTAACATATAATACATATATAACATAACATATATGACATATGTAACATATAACATATATAACATAGAACATATGTAACATATATAACAGAACATATATAACATAGAACATATCTAACATATATTTAACATATAACACATATATAACATAGAACATATATTTACATATAACACATAAATAACATAACATATATAACAAATGTAACATAGAACATATATAACATATATGTAACATATAACACATATATAACATAACATATATAACATATGTAACATATAACATGTATAACATAGAACATATATAACATATTTAACATAGAACACATATATAACATAACATATATATAACATATAACACGTATAACATATATAATATATAACATGTAACACATATTTAACATAGAACACATTTAACATATATAACATATAACGTATAATATATAACATATAACATGTATAACATATAACATATATAACATCAGTGTTTCCCATTAATTACTTAGACCGTGGTGGCCCGCTGCTTCAGCAAAGCATCTCTCGCTCCCAGTCAGTCAGCTCTGCCCCTCCCCCCCCTTGCTGTACGCGGCACGTGCACACTCATACACACACACACACACACACTGGAATATATAACGTTACCTGACAGCATCCGAGATGTCAAGGCATTTTAGGACACCACATCGTTTGAGGTAAGAAACGTTCCAATCCAATCCAACTTTATTTGTTAAGCACTTTAAAACAACCAAAGTTGACCAAAGTGCTCCGTTAACCAACTTTACAGTATCTACTAGTTCAAACACAATTTTATCCTGATCAATGTACGACAGCAAACAGATAATGTTACTGCAAAAGTTTATTATTGATAATTAACGTTAACGTTCGTTAGCTAGCGATGTTAGCTGTCAGTCTCGATTATGTCGACTGATATATCCGGCTGCTTACCGTGAAACAGTATGTAACGTTATATCTAGCTAGCTAACGTTAATGTTATTACCAGAGACGGTTCTGAAAGTATAAATGTATATAGAGAATCTTTGTTATTACCAGCAGCTCTGACCACGTAAGTTAACTTAACGTTTACAGGGCGTCGTGGACGAGAGGCCCGCGAGCCTTGTAACTAACGTATTTTCAGTAAAACTCATAAAAAAGACTCATAGAGGGACAGACTTTGAGAGAGTAGTTGTAAGTCTTTTACCAGCATATTTAAAGAAAGGGGTCCAGATCCTAAAAAAATTATCCACCCTACATTTGAATCTGTATGTTAGATATTCCATTGGTAGTAAGTGAAATATCACTTTGTGCCAACCCCCAATTGTAGGTGGTGCATTATCAATCCATCTGAGCAATATATTTTTGCGAGCAGCAAATGAGAGAATACTGAGCAGCTTTCTTTGATGAGACCCTTTAATATGAGGACTGGGCAAGCCAAGAAGCAGAACCTGAGGATCGGCATCCAGCTGGACATTAAAAATCAAATTAAGTTTACTAACAATTTTACCCCAGTACTCCTCAACATGTCCACATACAGTGCCTATAGCTTCCCACCTCTACTTGACATTTGGAACACTTTTCAGACAAACTTGAGTTCATCATGTGTCTGAGCTGTGGTGTGATCTGCAAGCGATGCAATATTCTAAACTGAGTCTCTCTGGTTCTGTTACATATGGAGATCTCTCTAGCTAACCGCCATATTTCCAACCATGTTGATTCATCTATTGTAAGATTGAGATCAGCATTCCATTTGCATCAAAGATACTCTAAGCTCATATTGCTAGCAGAGTTGAGCTCAGCATACCCCCAACCAAAAACTGCTTTCTTGCCTCTACCAAGAAGTAAACGTTCTATCTGTGAAGTCTGACAGTCAAAGTCATACCTTCTTTGATTCTGAATGAAGCTGCGAATTTGCAGATACCTAAAGAAGTGGTTTCTCGGGAGACCGTATTTCTGTCGGATTTGTTCAAATGTAAGCATCACTCCTTTATCAAATAAATGTCCCACAGTTAAAATTCCCCTCTCCTCCCACATCTTAAATCCCATGTCTGAGCGGGCTGGGGCAAAATCCATGTTACCATATATCGGAGCTAGCGAGGACAATGTTTTAGAACGACCCTCTAACTTCCTTACTGCTAGCCAAGCTTGCAGACTTGTTGTAATTAAAAGGTTATTGTCCCCCACAATCTTAGTTTTTCTTGAGTCCAAGGCAAATAAAAGACTTGAGAGGCCAGTACCTGCATTCACAGATTCCAGATCTAGCCACACCGATTCAGGGTCATTATTAATCCACTCCGCTATGTATCAAAGCTGTGCAGCCAGCTGATAAAGCCTGATATTTGGGACGGCTAAGCCTCCCTGCTCTACAGACATATGCAACATGGCCATTTTTAGTCGTGGTTTTTTTCTGTTCCAAATAAATGAGCTGATCCAGCCATTTACCCTTCTAATTGATTTATTATTAAATAAAATAGGGACAATTTGAAAGTGATAAAGAAGTCTTGGTAGAATATTCATTTTGAGTAAGGCAATTCTACCCATCATTGACAGTGGAAGAGATATCCATCTGTCCAAGTCATCACATATACGCTTTAAGAGAGGTTCAAAGTTGGCCTTGAACATTGCCTTTGTAGGGGATACACTACTTTTTCATTATTATTAGTATTTAATCACTAGTGATTAATAATACACTCGTAAATGGGGCACCACCTCCTTGTTTAGCTACTGGAATAATCCGGAGGAAATTATTCCGCCGATCTAATCAAATCAATTTTAAATCAATTTATTAAGTTTCAAAATCTATATTTAATCTCATATTTCTGAAGTAGTGATTTCTTTTACACGATTCATTGATTTCCCGCATCAAATCAAACCTGCACCAACAAGGACATACGGTTATATATGTTTATTAACTAAACTAATGCAGAGTAAATAGCATGAAATGATAAACAAACAAATGACAACAAGTAACAGAATATGTGGACAATATATGAATTATTACTATTAGGTGATTCAGGAGCGATGGTGGATTTTGCGATGCGGCAGTAAGTTTAAAATATTCCGAGAGTAAATTTTAGAACTGAGAGGCCCTAATCCAAAATTCTCTTAAACTTAAAAGATGGGAATCAAAGCTTACAGACAGACACCAGCTCTTCTTCATGTGTGTGAATCCGGCCGTGTACCGGAGAGTCAGCCTACTTTGTTTGTAGATGGAACTTGGAAGGATTCCAGGTCCTTGGCTTTCAGCTCAACTGCGGCTTTGCGTCACTGGTCCAACAGGCTGAAGGAAGTTGCGTCTCGTCCCTGGTTCCAGTGGCAATCTCTCCAAAAGGCCCAGCGCGGCGTGTGCGCTAGTGAGCGTTGGGGGCACGGTGGCTGGAGAATAATGTCTTTATTCGGCTGGAAACGTTTATACGTCTTCTTGAGCAGTCAACTACTGCGACGTCCTTCTGGCTGATGATAAATGTCTTAGAGTGGTTGGTCTTCAGCTTTGATTGTAAACTAATTCAGCTTCTTGTTTAAAAATAACTGGAGGATGAAATGCTGGCCTGGCGAATTCTCCAAGAAAGTCCAAGAATTTGATTAAATTCACTTTCTGTGAAAAGGCGACAATACTTGACGATAAGACTACAAAAATATAAAAGAAGAAATTCGTTTGTGTCTTTAGCTTTCAAAATAAAAGTACTTGAAAAGTACTTCAGCACGGCAAGTTATTACTTGAGGAAAAATTAACACGTGTCGCAAACGAAGTAAAATAAAGTACGGAAATTAAAGAAAAAGCGAGAATAAATAACTAGTTGATACAAGAGAGAGAAGAAAAGCGAGCGCGAAGAGAAGAGAGATAAGAGTGACCGGAGTCTATCTCTTATAGCTTTTATTCTTGAGGCGGAACTGGACGAGAGGAGCTGACCGCGCGCGTCACTTCCTCTGATGATAATTTGATATACGTAACTTTATCAACTTACTCCTATCGTGTTTTAAAGTTTCGAGATCATAATTCACCGTTCACA